AGTGAAAAGCAGTGGTTAGTTTCTCTGCCCGTGTCCCCATTAATGCAGTAGAAAGCTTCCATGATGGGGAGGGACAAAGGGGAGGTGGAGCAGGTGTGAAGAGATTCAGGATTTGACCCCTCTTATCCTGGCCAAAGAAAGCAAGATTAACTGAGTGTGAAGAATAAAAAAGACTTCATAATATACTTTTTTAGTTACAGTAGGGACAAGTAGGACAGCTAGGGATAGGGTGAAGAATGAGGAGGGGCTCACAGAAGTCTAGTCCACGTGGTATTTGCACTGGAAAGGCTGATTGCCAAGCTCACTGAGAAGATGTGCAGATGAAGGCTTCTGTCACAGCAAAGGGGTCACAATTGGCAGAAGAGCAGCTGTCTTCAACGTAACCGTTCTTCTGGCTGAGAGTCTGGGGAATGCAAATGCTGGTGCCACAGCTGGCTATGCCAACAGAAGTCATTGACATTGGAGGTTTTGTGGAGTCTAGTTAAGCACCAGGCATTATCCAGGCCTCTCCTTGGGATTATAGGTACAAATGTGGTGCTGGTGCCGCTCACTTAGTTTCTCAGAGGCCTCCTCAGTGTACATCAGACCATTCTGCCTTGCTGCTGAAACTGGTATGGCCACCTCCACCATTCCAGTTCCCAGAAATGGGCTTAGGCTTAAAGGTTGCTATCACTCCAAAGTCTTCGCATACACAATGCAAATGCTCTCCTGTGAAGGGTCCTTCACAGAGCCCTATTTGGAATTCTCACCGGGCAGGCATTACTTCAGCATCAGTTCCTGTAACCTTGATTCCAGTGCACAAACAGGCCTGATAATGAGCCTCCACAGTATCCACACCACAGGCTTTGTTCCCACACCATGGTAATATGGACCTTGGGACATAGGGCAGCCATTGGCTATAGTAGAGGAAAGTATTTTCTTTCTCTATAAATGTGAATGATACTTCTCTCTCTCTCTCTCTCTCTCTCTCTCTCTCTCTGTACACTGTATTTTGTTTATCCATTCATCCACTGATTGACAATTGAGTTGTTTTTGCCTCAACTACTATGTGTAATGCTGTAGAGAACATAGAAGGCAATCATGAAATGTCCAGTTCCGGTGCCTCTTGGTGAAGCCAATAACTCAAGGGATAGAGCAATGTGAAAAGATACAGCTCTGCTAACAAGCTGCCAGGTAGAGGAAGATGAAGGGCTTCTATCCCGATTCCATCTTGCGAGGCACAAAGGGTTTTCTGAGGACTCTAATTTTAGGCAATAGACCCTAGACACAGGTGAACCTTAGGATGGTCATTAATACTTGCAGTAATCAAAATTTTGACATGCTCTCAACTCACCTGGTGTTCAGGCATTCCTGGTTCACATGAACCTGAAAAGACTGATTAAGATTACATCTGACTGGTGTTCTTTGATGTTTTTTCTTCTTCTTTTCAGGCAAGTCTCTCCTTATTGGTTAATTTTTTGGGGAATAAGGCAAAACAAACTGAAACAGAGTAGCTAGTGCTATGAGGAAGTTAAGCCTCAGCTTCAGGAATATAAATACTTTTTCAAACCTCTGGTTTGAATTGTTTTGTGTATTTACTCACATGTGAAATTGCTGGATCACATGGGAATTTTTTTGTTTGTTTATTTGTTTGATCTGCCTGCCTCAGCCTCCCAAATGCTAGGGTAGAATTACAAGTGTGCACTACCATACCTGGCTGGGAATTCTATTTTTAATTTTTGAGGATTCACCATACTCTTTTCCATAGTGATTGTACCTTTTAAAATTCCCACTAGTGTTGCACAAGGGTTCCATTTTAATTTCTTTAAATCCTTACTAGTACTTGTTATTTTCTATTTTTTAAAATAATAGCCATCCCAATAGAGGAGACATAGTATCTCACTGTTACTTTGATTTCCACTTTCCCAATGGTTCCTGATTATACATCTTTTCATATAATTATTGGCCATTTTGGTGTCTCCTTTAGAGAAATTTGATTCAAGCCCTTGCTTATTTTTAAATCAGGTTTTGTTTTTTTTAATTGTAGAAGCTCTGTATGTATTCTGGATACTAACCCCTTATTAGATATATGATATGGAAATGTTTTCTCTGATTTCTTCAGTGGCCTTTTACTCCATTGATAGTGTCTTTTAATGTACAAAAAAACTTTTTAAAAATTCTCACATAGTTCAATTTATTTTTTTAATTTCTTAAATTTTTATTAGTATATGTTTGCAGTATGTAATGACTACATTCATCATGAAGAGTTAGTATATGTTAATAACACATCATTCTTTTTATGTCCGCTTCCCTTACCCTCCTCTCCTCTTCTTGCATCTCCTGGTCCTCTTCCTGTTCTATTTTTTATTTTGTTACCTGTGCTTTTGGTATTGTACTTAAGAAATTGCAAGATCCAGATCCATTGTCATATAGCTTTTCTCCTATGTTTGCTTCTAAGACTTTTATAGTTTTAGCTCTTGTGTTTAGGTCTTTAATCTATTTTGAGTTAGTTTTTGTGTGTGGTATAAAGTAAGCATCCAGTTTTGTTCTTTTGCATATGAATATCTATGTTTCTAATAACATTTTTTCAAGAGGTTGCCCTTTCCCCATTGGGTGATCTTGACTCCCTGTCAAAAACATTTAACCATCTATGCTAACATTTATTTTTGGACCTTCAATTCTACCCTGCTGGTTAGTAAGCCTGTCTTTATACCAGTAGCATGCTGTTTTGATTATTGTAGCTTTATAATAAGTTTTGAAATCAAGAAGTGTACAACTTTTGTCCTTCTTTTTCAAGGTTATTTGACTCTTCGTAGTCCCTTTAGAGCCAATTATTAATTTGAGGAAGGACTTTAGTGTTTGTGAAAAAATGCGATTGGAATTTTGATAAGGGTTATGTTAAATCTGTAGATTACTTTGGGTATTGTTGGGGCTCAGAAAATGATACCCCAAAGTATGGCACTTTGGGACTCAGAGGCAAGCCAAAAAAAGAAAAAATCAGTCTTACCTAGGCATGGTGGTACATGTCTATAATCCCAGCTCTCTGTGAGATTGAAGCAGGAGGACTACAAGTTTGAACCTAGCCTGGGGAACTTAGCAAGACCTTCCCTCAAAGTAAAAAATTCAAAAAAACCTGGGGATATAGCTCAGTATGAAGGCCCTGGGCTCATCCCCAGCACTAAAAAAAAAAAAAAAAAAGTAGACTTCCTTTGAATTTTTCTGTCCTTCTGTCACCTATTCCCCTTTCTGCACCCCCAACCATAGAAACTAGGACTTTTCTTTCCTGAGACAGGTCACAGAAAGTAGAACCACTGTTCCTCAAAGCAAGTAAATAAGCCTAAAAATATTACTCTAATCTTTCCCTGCCTCTCTGTCCTAGAGGTGGAGAAAAGGGAATTGTTTCACATACCTGGTCTTACAGCAAATCATAAGTCCTCCATCCTATGCAGGAGGAAGAAATGCTGCACAGAATGACCAAGGAGAATCTGAACAGACAGGTCTTTCCTAGTTTCTCACTCAGTCAGTATGTTAGCATTAGACCATCCTCTTTAATCATTTCTACATGTCTGTCTTTCGTTAAACCCAAGCAAAGAAACGGATAGTTCATTCTGGGTCTTGATTCTGAAGGCTTTTGTGCTTTGATTAAGTATATTTATTATGTTTTGCTTTGTTCTTTTCTTCCCTTCCCTTCCCTCTCCTCCTCTTCTCTCCCCTCCGCTCCCTTCCCATTCTCTTTCCCCATCTTTTGTTACAGAAGTTGGCCGTGACCCTTAAGCAATTGAACAAAGGAATGTATCTGTCACTCCTCTCCTCCCCTACAGTAAAGTTTTAACACTAGTTCTGATCCATCAAAATAGGATGTGTTTTCACTTAATAGTGTCTCATTTCTTTCAGCAATGTTTTGTAGTAAATCTTTTGCCTCACTCATTCATTAAGTTTATTGCTAAGTATTTTATTCCTTTTGATGCTATTATAAATGAATTGTTTTATTAAATATCCTTTTGGATTATTGTTTATGTAAATAACTAATTTTTGTGTGTGTTGCTGGGGATAGAAACAAGGGCTTCCCACAGTGTATACTCATTGCCTCTTGTCTTTTAGGATCTTACAGTCTCCCGGTTTGGGAGGTTGGGTGACTCACCAGAGTTGTAGGATTTGTAGAGTTGTAAACTCACCAGAGTTGTAGTTCTAAAAGGAACCCTTTTAGAGGGTTCCTGTTACATTTTGGGTCTTGGCTGAGCTTGAAGGACATTAGATCTATTGATCAATTTGGGGAGTACTGCCATCTCAATAATATTTAGTCTTTCAAGTCATGAAGGTGAAAGGTCTTTCCATTTATTTAGTTGTCTTTTAATTTCTTCCAACAATGATTTGTAGGTTTCAGAGTATAAAATTTATACTTCCTTTGTTAAATTTATTCCTAAGTATTTTATTCTTTTTATAATAGTATAAATGGATTTTTTTCTTAATTTTGTTTCCAGATTATTCATCACAAGGATAGAAATACAGTTGATTTTTGTATATTCATCTTATATCCTGCAAACTTGCTGAAAGATAAATAACTTTTAAAGAGATAAAACAATTTTAAACTTTTTACTTCTAAAAATTAGCAATCATAATTTGACCTATATAACATCCAAGTGGGGCTGGGGGTCTAGCTCAGTGGCAAAGCGCCTGCCTGGCAAGCGCAAGGTCGTGAGTTCGGTTCCCGGTACCGGAGAAAAACCAAAAAAAAAAAAACATCCAAGTATGTATACCACCTTATGTCATAAGACTATTATTATTTGTCCGTTCATGTTTTTTCTCTGAAACCTTTTCTTGGGCTTATTAAGATTTTGTTTGGTTGGGTGACTGGTTAATTACTTCTGAAATGTCTTCCTTTCATTCTTTTTTGCTTTTATTCTTACATGCTTTTTTGTTTGTTTGCTTACTGCAATCAAGTTAAGGTTACAGAAGAAAAGAATAGATAAAAACATTAAAAGGATAATTTTCTCATTTTGTGTGACTGGACTTTCTAACAGGTTTATAAGTATCCATCAGGATTGAGTGTTGAATTTCAAGCTTCACTGTCCATTCATTCTGGAATAGACCAAGAAGAAGAAAAGAAAGAGGTATGTGGTAATGTTGCTTTGAATAGTAATATTTCCACAGTGATGATACATGTGACGTTGGAAGGTTTTCTGTGCCTTAATGGATTAAAAGATAATTTCACAAAATCCAGACAAGTTGTCTGAGTCATTATAATTCAAGATGTGATCAAAAACTATGGTGAATGTGTAAATTAAAAACACTTTCATAGTAAATGACACATTGCCGTTAATCCCAATTAGAATACTCCCTCTTACTTCAAACACACTTGTCCCATGTTTCTTGCCACTTTCTGAAGCCATTCTGGAAGTCGTTTCTTGAGTGCCTTTAGTTGCACTTGGCTGCTTCTATGTAATACATCGTTTCAAAGTGTGTAGCTTTCATGGTAATTCTTTTAAGAGTTAGAAGAAAAAGTTTATTTTAGAGGATTAAAAATACAATTTATCTGTTATCTAAACTGAGATTAATCTTGACTCAGAGAGGCTGTTGACAATAATTTCCAACAATTGTATTTTCTCTCCAGTCTTCCCCACTAAAACAGCCTTTTAAAAATGTCATGTTATCATTATCCTGTTGGAAACCCTCATTGGTTTTCCATTGCTGAAGCATAAAATTTGTGCTTCTCAGCTTCACGTTCAAGATCTTAGGTTATCTGACCTTACTCACCTTTTTTTTGGCCTATTTTCATACTTCTCACTTCCTGTTTCTAGTATTCCAGCTATAAGCTTTCATGGTCATTTTGACTTTGGGGAAGAGCTACAAGTCACACAGTAGCAGATCTAGGGAATAAGGTGAATAAGGACACACCAGAATGTTTTTACCAGCCTGTCTTTTTGTTGGATGGCACTTAGCTGCAGCATTCACTGTATTTTTGACCAGACTTTATGAAGACACTCTTGAAAGAGGACTTTCAGTACTGCTTCAAAAAGTGGCAGGAACAATGGGTGAAGCATGTTTGAAGTGAGGAGACATATTTTGAGGCAGGTTAATGGTGGTGTGTCTTTTATTGTAATAATTTCTAAAATTTAAACCTTTACTGTATATTTTGATCATAACGTGTGTTGAACTTTTCTTCTAAGCTTCTGTGGTATAGGGTACATTGATGTGAAATCAAAGTTCTGATGTAAGTGAATTTCCCCAGCTAGGATATATTTGCCACTATAACTTAATTAAAAAAACATTTTATATGTATGTCTCCTTTTTTATTTCCTTTGCAATTTAAAGTTGGTTTAAACTAAAAGTTCTTAATTTGACCATATACCAGAATCAGATATGGAGCTTTTTTCAAAATGCAAATGCCTACACCTGAACCAGATATACTAACTCAGTTCCTGGAAAGGCAGGCATTGGGAGCATTTGTGTGACTCTGACACATCCTCAATATTGGAAACTATTTTGACTTTTAATAATTTTTTACCAAATCCATAGACTACCCTAGTATAAGTATAGATAGGCTTTAGCCTTTTGAGCATCCTGTAGCCTTAAAAAGGAATATATAAATTCAGAGGAATAAACAAATCACACAAATCACACACAGTATGTTAGCACTTGCTTGTATTGTACTGGTTCCATTTATGAGTATGATATCCTGATAAACTTTGGTTGTCCTGTCCTTTCTAGCATGTTAGGCTAGGCTCAGAGTACACTTTTGTGATATGATTCAAATTTTGAAAATTCAAGGGATGTTATAGTATAAAATAACTTCCACATTCTTTCTGTAGCCCTGGCTTTTGATAATACCCACTACTTGGGAACATAGAGTAAATATATATCTCACTGTATCAAATATAATCATTATATTTAGTACTAGTGATGAGACTGTACTAAGGGCAAACTACATTAAATCTTCTTTCTAGCTGGGGATGTAGCTCAGCAGCACAAGCGCCTGCCTGGCAAGCACAAGGTTCCGAGTTCAATTCCCGGTACCAAAAAAGAAAAAAAAAACCAAAACTTTTCTTTCTATAGTTTATTTTAACATATAATAGCTATATGCTTAAAAGTATAAAATTCTTGTATGTGTTATTATTGTGAGTCATCAGAGGCAAAAAGAAATTAAGGACTTAGTTCTGTGTTACTTCTGTATTGTTTTCACTTTAAAGTTTCTCTTACTAGTATATGCTTGTGATACATAATAAATACATGCATTGTGGGGTATTGTTATATATAAATGTTACATCTTCATCCTTTGTACTTCTCCTTCCCCTTCCCTCTGTCCCATCTCCCCAGATCCTCAGATTCTCTTCCCTTGTTCATGTAGTCTGTCTCCCTATCTCTTATCAATCTTTTATTTTCCTGTTTAAATTATTTGTATTTTGGGGCTGGGGATTTAGCTCAGTGGCAAAGCACCCACCTGGCAAGTGCAAGGTCATGAGTTCAATTCCTGGTATCGGAAGAAAAACAAAATAAACAAAAAAAATTATTGGTATTTCGTTTTTCTCATATAAGGGAAACTATGCAATATTTGAACTTTTGTATCTGATTTACTTCACTCAGCATATGGTCTTGAGATGTATCCATTTTCCTACAGATGACTGAAATGTGTGGTTGAGTAGTACTCCATTGTTTATATATACATCAATTTTGTTTACTCATTCATCTGTTGATGGCCATATAGGTAGCCTCCAAGACGTGGCTATTATGAGTTGTGCTGCTATAGAAATGGGTATACATGTATCACTGTAATATGATGTCTTTAACTCTTTTGGGAAGATATCTAGAAGAGGTATAGTTGGGTTGAATGCAATTTCTAATTTTAATGTTTTGAGGAATCTGTATCCTAACTTCTGTAGTGGTTGTACTAATTTACATTCTCTCCAGCCTTGTAAAAGAATTCCTTAACCACCTGCTCCCACAGCCTTGCCAGCATTTGTTATTTGATTTCTTGATGACAGCCATTCTTTCTGGAGTTAGATGAAATCTCAGTATTTTCTTAATTTGCATTTCTCTCTAATAACCAGAGACATTGAACATCTTTTCATGTATTTATTGGCCATTTGTACTTTTTCTGAAATGTACCTGTTCATTTCAGTTGCCCATTTTTTGATTGACTCTCTTATTTTTAAATTTTTTTTACATTATTAAAGCACTGTTTATTTCATGTGTATATTTTTGTTTTTTCACTATCTGCATGTCTGACCACCTCTACTACTATGTCCTATCATAACATTCCATACATACATAAAACCAAGCAAAAGGTGGAGGCCCATCTTTAAAAACTTAACAGGCATTTTGGACACACATTTTTGGCAATGGAACCTGGACAACTTTTGTCAAATGTGGTAGGAAAAGTTCTCACTTTGCATTCTAAAAAGGATAGCCAAGTATCAGCAGTTATAGAAATTAAATAATACAGGAAATTTTAATAACTGTTTTCTTAAAGAGACTTCTTCCACTGCCACAAATCTTGAACAGCCTTCTCATCAGTCGTTTGGAAGCAAGTCTTCACATAACTGATGGATTTGGCTTCCACTTTGGAGAAGAGAGCCACCTTTTTCTGTACTTGCTTGCATTTTTGCTTTATTGTCTTATATGGAACTAGGTCCTTTGGATGTTTTAGTTTTTCCCTGTGTTTTGAAGTACTCTTGGCCTTTTGATCTTATGTTGATGGTTTTGAGAATTTTCCATTCTGGTTTGATTTTTTTATATTTTTGGCTGAAGTATCTTATATAGATTTCTTCACTGGAGCTTTCTTCTTAGTTTTCTCATCATCAAAATCATCACCCTCAGCATCATCTTTATCATTATCATCTTCATCAGCAGTTAGTTTTACTTTTTTCTGTGGGACCTTGCTACCACTTCAAGGGCAAATCGCTTTCCAGATATACCTAAGAGTTTTATGTCCTCTTCATCTTCTGATGACTTTGCATCTTCCTCCACAGCTACTAAGTGCTGACAGCTAAAATGCACATCCCCGAACCACACTTCAACCTTAAGACCACACACAAGTAGTGTAATTTTATAGACCCCAAGGGAAACCATTGGCTGTACATTTTCAAAGTTGCTGGTGTTACTTTAGTTGGACTGCCTTTATAATTTATTGCCTCTGCTTGACAATATACAATTCATCCTTTGCACCAGCCCCGAAACTGACTTAATGAGGTGATAACTGGTGCTGGTTTTCATCATTCACCTTAAGGTGATCGTCTTTGTTGGCCCTTAGTTTACAATTTATAGAGAGCCAGCTAGAATCAGGGATCTTCGTTAAGATTTGGTTGGATTTTGTGCAACAGTTGTTAACTCATTTCACCAGTATTGTCATGTGAAACATGGAGCAAATTCCATCGAAAAGATAGTTCAAGGGCCTGAGAGCACATGTTCATGTCCGTTGAATCTTTCATGGGGTAGTGGCATGAACTTAAGGTGGGAAAGAATGCAAATAAAGATTATGAATACTGCTCTGGCTCTTTTATTTTAGGTGGGGAGTCTGATTTTTTTTTAGTTCTTTGTATGTTCGAGATATCAGTCCTCTAGATATCAGTGCAAGGACTAGCTGGTAAATTCTTTTTCCCATTCTGTAGGTTGTTTCTTTATTCTTTTGGTTGTTTCCTCTGCTGTACAAAAGCTTTTTAATTTGATGTGATCCCATTTATTGATTCTTGATGTTATTTCTCATGTAACTGGGGTTCTGTTCAGAAAGTCCTTGTCTATGATGCTGTCTTCTTCAAACATCTTACCTACTTTATCTTGTCAGATTGTTTCTGTTTTAACATTTAGATCTTTGATCGATTTTTATTTTATTTTAGTACATGATGAGTGGTATGGGTTTAGATTCAATCTTTTTCCTGTACACAGCCAGTTTTTTCAGCACCATTTGTTAAAAAAGCTATTTACCTCAAGCCTTAAGCTTTTGGCCCTTTTGTCAAAGATCCTATGACTGAATGTGCAAGAGGTTGTTTCTGAATCCTCTATTCTGTACTGTTGATCCACATGTGTTTTTGTGTCAGTATCATGCTGTTTTTATCACTGTAGTTTTGTAATATAACTTGAAATTCACAATTGTGAACTTCTGCTTTGCTGTCATTGCCCAAGATTGTTTTTGCTGTTCTGGGTCTTTTCTGATTCCATATAAATTTTAGGATTTTTTTTTTTTATAGCTCTGTGAGGAATGCTGTTGGTGCCTTTATTGGGAGTGCATTAAAACTATATCATTTTGGTAAAATGGTCATTTTGACAATATTGGTGTGTTTATCCAGGAATAGGGGATATGTTTCCATTTTCTTATGTCCTCTTTGATCTCTTTTTTTTTTTTCAGAGTACTGTTTTTTTTTCATTAGAGGTCTTTCACTTCCTTGCTTAGATTCATTCCTAGGTATTTAATTTTTTGAAGATATTATAAATGTGTACTTATATAGACTTACTGTCTGTAGCCTGGGTCTGTAACCTTGAGACCAGGGGGAGGATGTAACTAAGAACAGAGCTGAATAGCAAGTTGTGAATGGCAGGTGAGCTAGGAGGCTTCATCTGTATATACACCTTTGTAATGGGCTTGAATCATTTCTGAAATCATATATTACAACCCCCACCCTCAAACACCTGTCAGTGGAAAAATTATCTTTCAGAAACCAGTGCCTGGTACCAAAAAGGTTGGGGATTGCTGGTCTATATCATAAGAATAGTTTCCTTCCTTGGGAAATCCTTTGAAAACAGAATTTTAATGATTTAACTACTTTACTTTAGCGTCAAAAGCAATACCTGAGACACAGAAGACTTTTTATGGACATTGAAAGAGAACAAGTAAAAGAACAAAAACGGCAAAAGGAACAGAAAAAGAAGAATATTGAAAAGTAAGTTTTTTGACCCTCAGTCTGAGTCTTAAATTAGCAGTTAAGATGTTTTTGGAAGTCAAATCTAAGAAATAACCCAGTGCATGCTGGGACTGTAGCTCAGTGTACAGCCTGTGCTTAGCATGCACAAGGCCCTGAGTTCAATCTCCAGCCACCTTCCTCCCCAAAGGAAAAAAATAAAGGGAAATAACCCAGCAATGGTTTTGCCTTCTGATCTACACCGGTAACAAGTATTTTTGAACTGAGTAGAATATTAAAGATGGTGAACACTTACTTTTTTCCAGTGGTTTCATTTCTTTAAATACTTTATTTTTAGAGCAGTTTTAGGTTCCCAGCCAAGGTGAACAGAAACAGAGTTCCCATGTACTTCCTTTTCCCACACATGCACACCTTCCGCCTGTGGTACAGTTTCTAACATCTCCTGAACCAATATTTGCCACATTAGTACTCAAAATCTGTGAGATTCCCTCTTGGTGTTATATTACATGGGTTTTGATAAATACTGATACATGTCCATACACATGTTATACAGAGTAGTTTCACCGACCTAAAAATTGTATGTGCTCTCCCTGTTCATCTCTCCCTAACCCTGGGCACTGTCTCCATGATTTTCACTTTCGAGAATGTTACATAGTTGGAATCTTATAGTTTGTATTTATGTAACCTTTTTGAAGTAGTTTCCTATACTCACTTCCTTTTAGCCCAGGGTGAAAGAAATAATAGTATTATTTATGTAAAGTTTTATAATTTATAGGCACCTTTATATATTATTGTATTTGGTTCTTTTTAACAGTGAAGCCCATTTTTTAAGAACATTCTACATGCTAGCCATCATATTATACGCAGAGAATATAAAACTTGAATGTGTAATAGGATAGTTGTTCATAGCATGGGTTAGACCCAAATGGACTCAAGTTTGGTTGTATTACTTATTGACTATATAATTTTAAGCCTCAATGTCCTTAATTGTAAAGTGAAGATTATAATAACTATCTTTCAGTGTGTTAATGGAATTAAGTACTTAGCATTGTATTTGGAATTTAATAAATACAGTAAAAAGTACATGTTACTACCATGATGGTGATAGTGGTGATGAGTAGGATGAGCACCAAAAGAGAATAGACAAATGGAGAAAAGGAGACAGCAAATAATTATTACAATGCTAAAAGTGAGGGTAGAGATCATCAAAGCATATCAAAAACAGGCTTTCTTAGAGGGTGAATTAGAGTTTTCCAGATGGCCAAGTTAGCGTGAAACTATATGATAAAGTTGAGAAATAATATAAAAAGTTGGGCCATCTATGGTGAAAGTAAAGTGGCAGAGACGCTAGAACAAAGCTATTGGAATACTTAAGGCAGAAGTCTTATTACTTGATGTGGACCTTACGAAGATCTCTTGTAACAGAGTAACAGTATGAAAATAGAAAAGCAAGGCATGGTACCCAGTTATTACAGTAACTGCAGTGAGATAAAGAAGGTTGTGGGAACAGAGAATGATTTATTCAATAATATTTTCAAAATCTATACAAATTGATGACTGTTGCTTTTGTTTGGTTGGTTGGGGTTGTTTGTTTGTTTGTTTTTGAGACAAGATCTTGATATTCCAGACTGGCTTTAAGCTCACTATGAATCCTAAGCTGGCCTCAAACTTAGAGCAGTTTTCCTGCCTCTGTCTCCCCAGTACTGGGAGTATAGGTGTACTCGACCTCATGTGGCTGACTAGTTGGGTTTAATGTTAAGAGAAGAGATAAAAGCAGTTTCTAACTTTCTCCTCAAATAATTGAATGAATGACAATACCATTAACTTAGGGAATATGCCAAGGACAGATTTAGAAGTAAAATAGTGAGTTTATTCTGGGGTGAGTTTTAGGAGCCTATGGAACATCCTATGGCTGACTTAATGTACATTGGAAAATAATTAGAGTTCTGGGAACAATGGGAACTAAAGATTCCTTTCATAGTTTTCACTATATAGTTCAACATGAATTTGGGCCAGTTACAGGGCTAGTATTGGGAGACAAAAAAACATGCAGAATGTTTGGTGTTCTTAAGCAGTGGAAGTAACAAAATTAAAGACTTGAGGTATCTTAAACATTTGATCAGTTTTTTCCTCAAGATATTTGCAAAAGTTGAAGAAAGTTGAAAGAGTAAATGGAAACCCTTACCTAGAAAGTAAAACTAAATGTCTGTTAGTCTGTTGTGCTAAGGAAATGTAGAGTTCAGAACCCATGAGATTAGCAGAGGGGAGAAAGGCCAAAAACATATACCATTCTTTCAGTTGAAAGCCCTGGAGAATATATATTAAGAATTTGGTCCAACTAGCTGTAAAATAAGGCTTACCAAACTGCCAAGCAGCCTTGATTTTGTTGACTTCCTGACTGGGTAAAGATGATGAAGCCTGCACTATCTGCCTAGCAGAGAAAAGACTGAACTCTCTTTGGCCATAGAAACATCATTTAGGGCCTCTAAACGTTTTTAAAAACAACTTTCAGCATGCAATCAAAATTTTCAAAGTATGTTGAAAAATAGGACCAGCATCCAAAAGCCACAGAAAGCATAGGGAACACAAGCAGTCACGGGTGACACAGATTGTTCTCACAGACAAGGAATTTAAGTAATTTAGTAATATTTTCATGTAAACAGAGGAAGCACTGGAGAAAAGATAAAAATTGGGGAGTTTTAGTAGAGAATTGGAATCTATAAAATAGAAAATCTGGAATTAAAAAAAAAAATCTTTAAAGAAAAAATAAAATGAGTACTGTTATACATACAATGAGATACCATGTCAAACTTAATAGAATAATGAGGAGGGAAAGACAATAAATTTAATGGAACCAGATATTTGCAAGGTTGGATAACTGTAGCTCTTGTGTTTTTGGTATAAGTAGAAAAGAGCATAACCTCTTTGGGAACTTGTTCAATATATTATGCAATAAAGTATAGGCCTACTTCATGACCTAAAGACTGCACTAGATATTTACTCTAAAAAAAGGCAAATACATATTTGTAAAAACACTCAATAATGACAAAATATTATTTTCAAATGCTCATGGGATAGTTTCTAAAAGTGACAGTATTATGAGTTATTTTCAGAGTATTTTCTCTGACAATAGTGATATTAAGCTGCAAATCATGAAGCAGTACATTTCTAAAGACTTCTTGGTGAAAGATAAAATTACAGTGCAAATTAGAAAATACTTTGAAGTGAATAATAATGAAGATAAATATATCAAAACTTGTCAGAAACAGCTAACATAGTGCTTAGAGAGAATAATAGAGCCTTAATTGCAATTATTAGACAAGCAAAAAAGGTAAAAGTCAGTGTTTTAACCTTCTATCTTAAGAAGCTTAGAAAAATTGCAAATCAAATGAGGAAAGAAAAAAAAAATCATAAGGAAAAGAGCAGAAAGCAATGAAGAGACAACAAATTGTAGCAGAGAAAATAAATGAAGCCCAGTTATTTTTTTGCAAGTACATTTGTCCAGGCACATACTACTTTTATTAATCAATAAAAGGAAAAGAAAGAAAGCATGATTTTTCAATATTAGGAATGGAGAAAGCACCATTACTACAGGACCTACAGACATTAAATGACGATATAAGGGTACTATGAACAGCTTTACACTAAAAAAATTGACAATTTGTTAAAGTAGATGTACCTCTTTAAAAAGAAAACTAAGCTGGATACAAGAAATAGAAAACAGTAATTCCATTTCCAAGTAATTGAATCAAAAAAAGAAAAATTCCCAAAAGGAAAAATCCAGTTTCATTCTCCTCTGAGGAATTTTTTTTCAAATATATCACAGGAACAAAATAATACCAGGCTTTGCATAAACTCTTCCAGAGAATAGAAGACAGGTAATATTTCCCAAATAACTAAAGAGGCCAACATAATCTTTGGATGATAAATAATTTTTTCCTATCCTGTCTGTATTTCTTAGTTTGCAAACTATTGCATTACTTTGTTGGACTTTAGAGGCTGAAGCAACATCTACATTGTAGGAGGCCTCTTACTCCTAAATACCTTGTTTATTTTGTAGTAGAAAATACAAGGATCCTGATGAGAATGGTTTTCCTGGGGGGTATGTAATGGTTCTTTTATCTATATTTTATTCTCACATGATTTCCCCTTTGAGATGTGAAATAATACAGTTGTCTAAAAGCCACATGACAAAAATTGCTGCAGTAAAAAGCGTGTGTCTATGTGTGTGTGTGTGTTGGACAATGTGGGAGGCTTGGAAAATACTTCTTAGAAATATACTTCTATACTATAATTTTTTTGTATAACAATTTCAGAACCTAAAGATGTTTGTTCTTAAGAGTTTGTCCTTATATCTAGGCTAGATTAAATTTGTCTTGCCATAATTTAATCTTTTAGTGATGATATAATCTGATCTGCATTGCCCCCCACCAATAAAAAGTCTTTCAATTCCTATATATTTGCATTTGTGGACTTATCCTGTTGAAGATTAAATAGAAATTTAGTTCAGTTCTTTTAAATGAAGCCAATATACCCCTGCTGTGGGTATTTTATGTCTAGCCTAAATCTTCTTGACATGTCTACCACATGGCAGTGGGAAATTCCTCTTCAGTACTACTGACCTTTCTTGAAAGTTTTCCTGCTTAAGGCTTTTATTTTATTGCTGTTACCTATTGATAATCTTTTTCTTCTTGGATTTATACTCAATCTCAGGAAAAAAATATAAAGGTCTCTGTTTTACAGACAGTATTAAAAGATTTAAACTCTTGTTTTTGATAGCAAATAATTAAAAATTACTTTTTGCCTTTTCCTTCTTAGAGAAATTAAGTCATTTATGTTTTCTTTTGCAGGGTTGTTATATGATTTACTTTGAAAACAAAAACCAATTTAACAGCATCCTAAAACAATTATATATCTGCTTTATAAACAGGAATTAATAATTGCTTATCTACTTGTTAGATTAAATGTTATTTCACTCATTTATTTAGCAGCTATTCATTGAGCTTCTATTAAATGGTAGG